ACTGAAATGAGCTAGTTCGGCGGGTTCGGACCCGAGGGAAAGGAAGTGTAGGCTTAAGGGCGCATATAAAGAAGTGGTTAGTATCATGTGAAGATTTGTGATATGCTGGACATACATTAAGCAAGTCGGTTTCGAGTCTGGATAGGTAGGAGTTTAACTTGCTACGATATCCAAACCTAAGTTGCGCCAGTATTATGCGGGTCTCTCGCGGCAGCTCGAGCACTTCATTTGCTCTGGATGGTGATATGACTCCGATGATGCCATTCACAGGGAGGGAGTTTTTAAAACTGTTGACAGACTGCGGGTGAATGGCGTTTAGTGCCTGTCTGTACGCTGTCCTGTACGTATTGCTGGATTGTGTCTTTCAGGTCTAGTACTCACTTTCTAATGTGCCTGGGTGGAGATTCAGACTCTATTAGATGTCTGTTGGCATACCTTCTAATTTATAATTTCGACAATCTGGCAGAGTAAATAAAAATTTAGTTTAATTTCTGTTTATTTTATTTTGTTTTATTTTATTTTATTCATTTATTTTATTTTATTTTATTTTATTTTATTTTATTTTATTTTATTTTATTTTATTTTATTTTATTTTATTTTATTTTATTTTATTTTATTTTGTATGGTTTTATTTCATTTTATTTTATTTCCTTTTGATTTATTTTATTTTATTATTTTTTTAATGGAAAAACATACAGTGTTACATATACATATAAGTTCGCTTTTAGTATTTCTAAATGTCGCTTTTGTGTTGATGACAGCAATAAACAGCCTTGAAATGCTAATAAAGAAAATAAACGATAAAACAAACAACAATAAAACATTTGCAGTTTGAAATTTGTGCTCTTGAAGTTATTTCAAAACTTAAATAAATATAAAAAATTAGAGAGTAGAAGAGCTTTAAAAGCCTTAAAACCGAATTAATAAGGATAATAACTGTTGTGGTGGCATACTTACGTACATACGAGAATATATGAATATTTAAGTCAACTTATTCACGCATATTATTAAATCGATTATTACCCACACACATATATTCGTATATAGGCTTAACTACGCAATGTATCCGCTTAAACCACCAATATGGGATAAAGACAAAAGACAAAGAACAAACCTTCCATTTCTTCAGCGCCAGTGGGATAAGCGCTAAAAAAAACGGATTTTCATAAACTGTTTGTCTCTTCCTACTACCGTCTTAATTTCTTCTTTCCCATTCTCTTTTTATTTTTTGCTAGTATTTTTCTCTTTTGTATCCGCTGCTCCCCACCAAGTTTAGCAATGACAAGATGCTGGAAATTGTGGTTGGCAAGCCTTATAAATACCTTCTGTGTACGCTACAATACAAAACAAAATCGTCGAAAAGTGAGCAGCGAAGTAAACGTAAGACGCTAAAGCCAAAACGCTGCTGTAGCTGTGACTACCAATATAAAGGCACGCACACACACACAAACTGCCAGAAAATCAATGAAGTGGAAAACTAACAACACTGTGAATTGTGAATAGGCTTAAAAACAGACAAGCAGTCAGACAGACTGGCGGGTAGACTTTGAAATGGGCAATTCAAGCGGTGGAACTCTGTAAGGAACGCAAATAGTCAGCGTAAGCTGGGAGGAAATTTAATTATTTAAAAGTGAAAAGAAATGCAAGGATTTTTTTTGTAGGCATATTATTTTGGTGAGTAAATTTATTTATATTGCATTTGAATTTTTAAGTTTCTCTGTATCATAACTAAACATTTTTTAATTAATTTGAAGTAAATTAAGTCAAACTGCAAATCTTCAAAAATAAAAAATTAAATTTGTTGTGATTTGTCGATCATCAACAAATCTAAGTCGAATATTGGTTAACTCTTAACGGATAATCTGGAATGTAGAAGAGAGTATACCTTGTTCCCACAACAATAATAGACCTAGACTTCCTCCTTGCTTAAGCAATCGGCAGAAACCAACCTTACTTCGAGCACCGTTGAACCCAAAAAACGAGCAAAGTATTTATTTTATTTATGCTTGCTTACTGTGATCTCCGAAACCCACGGCAGATTATGCTGCGAATATGTCAGTTTATTTTCTATGATGCCTGGAAATCTTTTCGGGAAGTAGACCAAATTGGTATTTATGGTTCAATTTACTTGCAATTCGGTACAAAGGTGGCTTTTTTCTTAGATTAACAGAAATACACTTCCATCTGGGATTTGAACCAGAGACCAACCTATTCCAAAAACGTTTATAATTTTTTTATTACTAAAAGTGATTCGGTTTGATTAAATTTTGGGATGATCTAATGGAATATTCCTGTTTTTAGGAAATTTACCACAAAGTTCATTATGGGAAAAGGATCACCCGCAGATTGGCAAAAATTATTATTATTAAGATATAGGAATTTTCTATTTTTGATTTTTATTATCCTGCTCTTTCGGGCTTTAAGCTACTCTACGTTCAACTTGAGTCTAAATAAACATAGATATTTTCGTGAAAGACTTTGATTACCGAGAAGCGACCCAGACATACAATAAGTAATCAGATTAATAATAGAATTAAAAAACTTATAATTTTGAATTAGATGATGAATTGAGTTGAGTTAAGTTGATGCGGCTGTTATTGCCACACTTAGACCAATAGGCCCATCGTGATACCGCTGAGGCTCCTGCCTTCACCTTCTCAGATGCTCGAACCATTTCGTGTGCCTTATAAAGGCAACGAGATTTCCAATATTCGCTGAGGCTATCTCAGCGAGACAATCGAAGAAATGTTTCCCAAGAAATTTGTGTCATGCTGATGTCAAGGCTGGACAGTCATTTGAATGATATCTCATTCTTGTCCCTTGAAGCCCCATTAAACAGTGCCCAGTTATTACGCCCGTCGTTATGCTAATGGAGTATCGCTCTAAAAAGATAAGAACTAGCAAGGGAAGGAACCCTTCCACCCACGATAAAGCATACACACGATGCTCTGTTTACCTCTGTCCATGGCAAAGCACATGTTTAAACTGGCTTTTACCGGAGAAGCTGACTCAAGATGGTTTTTTTGCACAGACCGCGAGATTATATTGTGCCCATTCTGTTGCTATTCAAAGCGCGTACGAATGATAAAGAAAAAAATGAGTTTAACATTTTTTTTTATTGTTATTAACAGAATCGACCACTGGGCATAGTTGGCCTAATGTAACTAAAATCGAATTTATTTATCCGCGAGATAGAGTTAACTCTGAGCTCTGGTTACTAAGGAGACGCCCAACCTACGAAATTTGTACTATGGTTTGAGTTAAGTTTATCTCAGAAGATGATGCGATAAGCCTGTATGAGTAGAAGCTTTACATGGTATCTCATGTGGACCTTATTTGAAAAACATATACGCCGTTTCCTTGTTCCAACAAACGATGCGGGAATACCGCATAATTTAGATTTTACTTCCTGATAAGTGAAATTCTTACACCATCCACCTCGGCATTGAGTCTTATATTATACTTTCTCCTCTAAACAGTATAAAAAGTTGGATCAAATTTCGATAGTAACGTAACTCGCAGTGAAGAGATAGAACGGTTAAAGAAGTAAATCAAAATCTCCAGCTCTGACACATTCTTCTCCAAAACAAACACCACTTTAGCAGACTAGTACTTTTGTACTTCTGTAGCAATGATGAGAAACTGTTAGATTTCTTTTATTTTTTAGTTAGGGATTTTGTTCAAATAATAATTTCGTAACGTCTTGCAGGATATCCAAGATCATGTGCATGAGGACCGAAGTAAATCATACAGATTTGACCTCAAACGGTCTCGAAGGAAATATAAGGTGTTTGTTGGCGTAATGGTAGGTCATAGCCTACTGGCATCACATGCAATCCGAATCAGTTATAATGACATATGCAGGAAGCGCAAGCAAGAAGGCACGAGAAATATGCTGGAACATCTCTTTTGTTTCTGGCCAAGGCTATTTAGAACTATTTGATATATAGGTGTTTCGTAGCCAAAAAGGACTAGATGAAATAAAATTCACCAAAAGCGTTTTTTCAATATCCAGTCAGCACAACCTAACCTAACTTTAATACTCGTAAATGATAATTTTATGAAAACGATTTTAATGAAAAAAAATGATGTATAAATATTTAGTACTTTATGATTTTATTGATTTAGTATTTTCTCAAACTTAACCCTTTCGCTCCGGTGAACTGACAAAAAAAAATTACTTTTCTTTGTGAAAATGGTTTTATGAAGTTTTATACTTTCTTAATTCGATCAATTCGTAGTTTTATAAATTTTATACTTTTACTGATTTTGCAATTTTATAATAGTATAAATTGACGATTTTTCATTACCGTTAAAATCAATTTAGTGTTCTATGTACAAAGGTTTTCCAATTTCCCGAAACCTTTAAATCTTACCTAAATAGTAATTTTATGAATTTTTAGTATATGCAAACTTTATTTAAATGATTTTGATTAAAAAATGATTTCATATTTCATTTAAAACTTTATGATTTTATTGATTTAGTCATTTCATGAAATACTATTTTTTTTTTTTTTTGAAATTAATCACGTAAATTTAATGATTCAGTAGGTAACTTATTTGATTATTTGATGATTTCACTTGAACTGCGACTTTATGAAATTTTAGTGCTATATGATTGTAGTGTTGTAGTGGTTCGATTTTAAATTGCATAATTGCCGATTCAGTAGTTATGATGTAAATTGCAGTTTTTATAATTTCCTTATTCTCCAGCTCATTGAATAATATTCCACAATAATTCGTTTCCTTAGATTTTTATGATTTCCCATTGATGTAGATATGTACATATACATAAATAGTTCTAAATCGATAAAATGCAATATTAAAGTATGCATTGCATATTTTTAGGAGCACCATTGCGAATACCTCAAAACGCCACAAAATTTGCAATAAATTACAAGTATAAAAATAACTACCCAAAATAAAATATGAATAAATATATATATATGTAGATAAGTATGTATATACATATATAAAATGTATAAAATATATAAACTTACTGTTTCTCCTTGCGTTGTTGACGTTTCTTCTTGAATGCTTTCTTGACACGCAACAACAGGAACGCCGCACGATCCACGGAGAGTGTAGTGCTCTTCTTGGGCGGTGGTGGAGCATCTTCCATTTTGCTTTCTATAATTTTACAATTTTTTTTTGTTTTTGCTTTTTTTCTAGCCCAACTAGTAACTTGTACTTGTGTAGATGTAGACGAATAATCGAGAAAAAGAGGAGATGAGTGTCGTTGAATTGAGGAGAGCACCTTATAGCGGGTGGCAGCAGAGAAATTGTGCACTTTGAGCGCGGTTAGGGTGGTAATAAGTGTTTCTTTTTATTTTGAGCGTTATGGGGGGGTGAGGTAAATGTTGACGTTGATTCGAAAGTGTCTAGGTGGTTTTTTCTTTTTTGGATTGTTTTTGGTTTTGCTAATGTTGTTGCTGTATGTGTCTTGAAAGATAGTAGATTGGTAGTTTGCGAAAAAAGGCTGCTACTGTTGGTAGTATTAAGTATTGTTGTGACCTTGTAAGGGCTTATCTGTCTTCAATTGAGGGTTATTCGCATACTTTTATTTTGTATTATTATTATTATTTTTTTCGATTTGGACAATTTATTCTGTATTTTTATATCTGTTTTCACCTTCGCTTGCCATTATTTTTTTTTATGTTTTCATTTTTAGTGTAGATTTTCAGCATAGTTATGCGCTATCGTTGCCTGCTTCCTCCTTCTCCTCCTCCTTCTCCTGCTCCTCCTGTTTCCTTTTTCTTTGCGTTTTATTTTTCTTTTTCGCTTATTTTGCCCCGCAACCGCTTTGCCTGACTGCGCATTGGCTTGGTGCGGCCTACAATCACTCTAATTTCACCGCAGCACACTTCACTACACTTCAACTTCCGCGTGGCATGTATTTTGAGCAAATTGATTCGGTTGATTTGCTTGATTCACATTGGATTTGCAGCAGGCTTTCTGGCTGGAATTTGTAATATAACCATTTCCTAACCTTATTTATTAAGTAAGTGCACGTGCCAGATGGATGAAGTGTAGCCATGTAAGGTGGACAGCAGTTGGTGAATATAGTTGGGTAGACAGTCGGTTGAGTATTGCGTGGGCAATAGCAGCGAAGTGGGAGTTAGAATATCAAGCGCTGCACTTGACACGCGGCTGTTCAGCTCTTTGATGTACAGATGTGTGGCTCCTTTGTGACCTTACTTAACAGTTTTAGTCAGATTTGTCCTTGTCTCTATCACCCAGCAAACTTGCTGCCTTAAACGCCACATTGCCATTGTCACTACGTCACTCTCATACGATTAAGATCGTCACTTTTGTTCGTTACAACGCTTGTGAATCAATAAGCGGTTTTATTATTGTTGTTAGTGTAGTGTTGTTGTAAGTTTTAACTATCCATCAATAAGCATGTGGGATGCCACTAAATCGCCAACAGATGCTTATCCCGTTACCGGAGCATGCGGGTGATGAGTGCTTAAATTGTTTCAATTGGTATGCCACACAACACACGCTGAGTTCAGCTGACGAGTCGAGTTGAGTTGAATTAAGCCGGAGCACCGGAGGTCGCGGTCGGTGTTGTTGTCGCTCTGTTTTGGCGCTGTTGTTGTCTTCGGCGACGTTTGAGGTCAACGTTGTTGATGCACTGTCGCTGGTGCCGTTATAACGTCTATGCGCTATTTATTTATTTATTTATTTAATCTTGTTTTTCTTCTTTTTTTCTTGCTGATTTTCGCCTTTATCTTGTCGCCTTATTTATATACACAAGTAAACACCTCTTCATTGGTTGTCAGTTGCTACAGTTGTTGTCTTTATTTTAATAATTCTTTGCATTGTTGTTATTGGCCAAATGTCGCATGTGTGCTGTGAGTGAAAATAAAAGAGCGAGACATAAAACATAAGTTCTTGTATACTATATATATGTATCTATATTTAAATGTTATGTATTAAGTAAAAATATACATATGTCGTACCTCACACATACATTCACATATGTACATATACTCATACATCTTTATTGTAATTTTATTCGCCAAGTGTGTGGCAAAAGGTTAAGAATATAATATCCTTCAACAATTTTCGCCTTTGCTTTTGCTGCTTGACACAGTTTTCTACATATTTCGCACATCCACCATCACATCGTCATGTAAACAAAGCATGCGTTGGGAATGTACGTTTATATATTGTCACATGTACGCAGTACCTAAGCTCATCTGTGTCCTCTGCTCGTGTTAAATATGCGCTCATGCATATATCCTCTCCATTAAAGACTACTCGTCCGCGTTAAACAATACTTGAATATGAAAAAGTATAACCCATGCAAAAACAAAAAAGTACCAATAACACACGTAAGGAAGTGTTTTCAGTGGGTGAAAACGAGCTTTAGATAATCATCTGCTTCTAAGCTGTATTTTTCCAACTTAGTCATAATATACTTTGGGTAGGTAGTTGGCATCTTGAGATAGTTGAAGAGATTTTAGGCTCGGACTTCATTGGTTAATGGCTACCTATCGCAGTAATCTAATCTTTTCCAAACTAATTTTAGCCCATCCTATTTTATTCGGCATGTTATTGCAAACACCCACTTGAGCCTGGGAACCTGACGGAGAGGAAATGAAAAACTAGTACCTTATTCTTTTCAAGTTTTTTGCACTTTTATGATGTTAAATGCATCCGTTCCAAAAGACCAATAAATCGGTACTGTGGCTGTAATTCTGCAAACATTTTTCCTTGACTCATTTTAGAGTCCTTAGGTCTTGCTCTGTTATACAACACTTGAGCATATTTGCTTCTGTTCTACGCCATTGGCTCAAATGGTATATGAAGCTCTCTTCTGATCGTTACTAATGGAGCTGCCAAAAGAACTTCCGACTTAACCGACCCGTCAGGTTTTTTGTTACAGTAAATGTAACCGGAAATCTAGTTTATAGAGATATCGAGTTCATCCGCGAGTGAGTTGAAGACCGAGCTACAATTGTTAACGATACCGAAATTGATTACTCTACAGGCCTGTTTCGGTAATTCTGCTAGCAGAGTTTTGTAGACACTATATAAACAAAGAGAGAAATATAGAGATAAGAGAGAGAGAGAGAGAGAGAGAGAGAGAGAAATATAGAGAATAATGGGGAGAGAGAGAAAAATAGAAAGAGAGAGAGAGGGGAAAGAATAGAGAGAGAGAGAGAAGAAGTGAGAGAGAGGGGGGAAAGAATAGAGAGAGAGAGAGGGGAAGAATAGAGAGAGAGAGAAGATGTGCGAGAGAGAGAGAAAAAGGGAGGGAGAGAAAGCAGAGTGATTTCGTGACACATCTTTATGATTGATCTAAAGAGGGTTCTTGCCGCAATTGCAGGGACATAGATTAGAGAGCAAAACAAATACTAGTAGAGGGAGATAGAGAGAAGAACATAGAGCAAGAGAAAGAAGAATTGAGAGAGAGAGAGGGCGAGCGAGAGAAAGCAGAGTGAAATTGTGACACATCCTTATGGAGACTCTTGATCTAAGGAGGATTTTTGCCGCAGTTGCTGAGCCACAGATAAGAGAAGAACACAAATATTAATAATCGAAAATCGCTTTGCTGTTTGTCAAAATATTCTCAATAAATATTTTTATTTGCCAACTCTGTTTGAGGAATGTCCAAAACATGCCTTCCGAGAGCATCAACCGTCTCTTCAGGTGTCAAAGAAGAGATGTCGACCTCGCAGTTTATGTTTTATCTACGGGGTTAAAAGAAGTTTTTCGGTACCTGACTTGCAGTCAACGACTGATTTTGAACAATTAATCCGGTAATTTTTACGTAAAAGATGCTTCACGGAGTGGGAGGCCGTTGGTTGAAAACGTCGATAAAACCATGATCATTGTCGAGTCCGAACGTCATGTAAGCAAGACCGCCGACTGCACAAGAGCTAAAGACTGCCCAATTGGAACCATTTGAATAAGGCTGCATCCGAAATGTAAAAATTAAAGCTTTGGTTTTCTTTTTACTACGCTAATATATTTCGTGGTATGACGTACATACATATGTTTGTAATAATTTTTTTGTTTTTTTGTTTTTTTTTCTTTTGTGATTTTTCTATATTTCCATCTTTTTCTTAGTTTCAAGAGTAGCAATTTCGTATTTATTCTAAAATAGAAGATAAATAAACACAAGCATCAATTTTATTGCATTTACCTTTCCCCAGCCAATCGTTTATTCTGTTTACATAAAAATATACATACACGATATCAGTTACTATACAAATACAAAAGAAATATCTGTCTCTAATCAGCCTGCGGTATGTCCATTTAAGCCTTCCACCACATTCTACGCACATCACGCCACAAAATCATAAAACCGCTGTGTAACATATATCTCTACACATAAAAGCATACTTTCATACATAGATATATGCGTATGTGTGGGTTTGTGAAATACACGTCAAGTGGCAAATTACCTTTTGGCAAAACATTTTTTTTTTTTTTTTTGCGATGAACAAAGGGTTTTCTTTTTTCCTCGCTTTTTCGCCTTTTGTTGACTTCACGCTGCCTTTGTTTAGGATTTGTTTACATGCATAAATATTTTGTCTACTTATTTGTATTCAATGTACACACTTACAAGTATGCACATATTTATTTACTGTATCTATGCTAAAATAATACGAGTATATTAACATGTCGCTGCTAATATAAATATTTGCATTCAGATTACATATAAAAATATGGATGTAAGTATGTATTTATATTAGAGAAAGTGAAATCAATACGAACAGCTTCAAAAAGGGGAAATATTCATGTATATTAGCCATGGCGACTAAAAAAAATCAATTGTGTATGCGTGTGTGTGTATATGTGTAAAACTACAACCGAGACTTCTCTTTGTTTGTCTCGAATGCTTCATTACGAGAAAAATGCTCTAAAATTGGTAACCAATTTTATTTGTGAAGCCCATATATATGTACATGTGTACATAAGACTTAGAACTCAATATTTTATTTATTTATTTTCATCGTTATTTTCTGCATCACCTTTTAGATAGATCTCAATTACCATCATGAGCATCTGCAGATCTCAAATAATTTTCAGTCGAGGTACGAATTTTCGACCATGTTTTGCAACCATTCAACCAAAAGTGAGCTCCATCGCTGCACAAAAAGCTCTGGTGAATATTGTGATCGGTGCTCATCTCGTTGTGAGCCCATTCACCGAACAACCCACGCGCTGGAAGTTCGTTCAGCTTTAATTCTTACACAAGTTGGACTTTATACGCCCTCAAGCCAAGATCTTGCCGCTCCACTGGCTCACGACACAAGATAATGCGATCAGCAAAAGTTTCCCTGAATAAATTTATTGTAGGTCGTCCACGCACATAAATATTCTCCAACTCAGAGCCACAAAATCAAGCCAAAGCTCTATTGCTGAACAAAACTTTCTTGCGAATATCAGTGGGCAATCTTGCTTTGGTCTCATTCACCGAACATTGTAACGTACCCGGTTCTCCGGTTTATAGCTGGGCTATCTCTCAGCCGGATTATGGGTCTCTCCTATAATCTCGAATTTTAAAGGACAACACGGATGGTTCTACCTTACACAATTAGTTTTATTTTCAATTGTTCTACTGGCAGCGTTTTCACGTCACACCATATATCTTAAACTGTATCGTACTGGCAGCGTTTTCACGTCACACCATAAATCTTAAACTGTATCGTACTGGCAGCGTTTTCACGTCAGCCGTATATCTCTATTGGCAGCGTTTTCACGTCACACCATATACTTCTATCTACTCCTATTGGCAGCGTTTGCACGTCACACCATATATTCTACCTACGACAGCACAAACAGAAGTGTCGTATCACTGCTGATGCTGCTCCTTTTATACTAAATTTTCCTACAGGTGGACAGTTATGCACTGCCTTTTGTTGGTAGGCCTATCGCCTGTTCTCTTTTGCCCTACTTAACAGCGACGGCTCGTTACGCTAGTGCCTAGCTTAAATTTCGTATATGTACAAATGTGTATATATAATTTCTGCTTCTAGAAAATAATTAATTATGTAAATGTATATATATATATTTGTATGTACTTCATGTGTATATAAATGTGTAAATATGTATAGGTATGTATATATGTAAATGTATATATGTATATGTGTATATATATATTTATATATATATATATATATATATATATATATATGTATGCGTAAATGTATATATATTTCGTGTATACATATCCTGTTGTTGTTGTTGTGGAGGCTCCAAGGCCTTGGACTTGGGGTCTTCACAACATGCGACGAGCTTAATGGTCGTACGGTTTTATATCTTGCACGAGTAGGATTCTCTGAGTCTGCAAGCCAAGATTTTTCTGAAAAACCTTCCATAACGTGGATGGGCACAGCTCCAGTTGTTGCGCACGCTGGCGTATGAACTCATTCGAGTCTTCTTCGATACTCTGCTTTACAGCAGCAATACTGTCTTTGGTGCGCGTTTTAAGGCATCTCTGAGGATGCGGATTATTCATTATGAAATGGCAAACGAAAATGAGTATAAATCAATTAACAGCTGTCAAAAATATTAACTCCTAAAAAGTATTGCCTCATTAAAAATCACATGCCTAAAGCAAACCTACATAAACCCCACAAAAAGTACTTAATATTTTTTAAGGTTATCTTTCACTGAAGAGTGAATGTACATATTTATATATATAAAATTCTCCATGCTAAATGACTTTACGTGAATGTAGCCGTCCGATAAGAACAGGTTTGCCCGAACTCTGCCCTTAAGAGAGTGAAAAAGAGCGACCAAGTTCTTATGGTGGCCGCGGTAACCGTGTGGCTGATGTTGCGTGCTGCCATTCGGAAGGCTCGGGTCCAAATCCTGGTGTCGGTTTCCAAAAA